GGGTGACAAAACTAGTGTCGGTTGACTTTTTACAATCCGTAAATTATTCAACAATAGGTGGGCTTGTTTTACGGCTCCTAACAGAATGAAATATTCCTTTTACTTACTCAAAGGCATTTGTTTCGGATTCGGCCTCTTATGTAAAAAAGTGTTTTAAAGATGCTTTATACTCTGTAATGCCTCAGTTGAAGCACAATACATGTTCTGTCCATATTATGAATCTAATCAGGTAAATTTTTTTATAATAAGATTAGTATTTATTCTCGAAATAGTAGGCATGGGTGCTATTTTGAATTTTGGCCTGAATTTAGGCCAAAATTCGAAATAATACCCATGCTCACTATTTTAAGAATTTACAGTAAGTTTTATAGTTTTAATAATATAATTTTATATAATTGCTTTAGTGAATCATGGATATCAGTCTACCATTTTGATGGAGTTAAACTATTAATCTCACATATTAAAAAAACATTTGTGTATTCAAAGGCTCGTCGGTCTTGATATATGAACTATCTAGTTCAACACAGGTTAAATCAACAATCAAACCCTCCTTTGAAATTTGTGCCATTACCTGTCATGACGCATTGGAATACTTGGTTCAAAATTGCATTTTATATTTGCGATTACTTTGAATTTATTCAAGGGTTTTATAAGGAGAAGCAAAAAGCCGAATCATTCAAAACTATTGAAAAAATTGTGAATATTTTAAATGACTTCGATGAGAGTGGACGAATACGAATTTATTTAATGTTTATTCGCCACTATGCAGAAAGGTTTATTCAAGATCTCAATTTTTTTCAGCAAAAAAATGCTCTTGCAATTCTATTCATTGAAAACCGGATTTGACAACTTGAGGCCTTTATTAGTCATAGCAAACATAATGATGATTTTGGGAATAAGGTAAATTTGTGTATTACAAGTAGGGTTGGGGGCACAGGGCACGAGGCATGCCTTTCGGGCATGCCTCCTGGGCATGCCTCTAGGCATGCCTCTAGGCATGCCCTTTTTCAAAAAATTTATATATGTAAAAAATTGGCACTTAAAAAATTTTGGGAGCATGCCTATAGGGCATGCAAAAACATTGTTTCTGATCCACTTGGATCACGTTTCTGACCTTAATTTTCTGACCCCCAAAAAAATATAAATTAGCCAATCGGAATAAAGAATAAATTAACGTTTATGTCGAACTTATATTAATATCTCCAGTCCTGTAGAAAGTGCTAATGAAATTATTAGATTTCTTATAAAAATAAATAAAACTCGTACATGAAGAGCAATTTATAAACATAATTATAATAATTTAATAATCTAAAACATGGTATGCAAAAGGTATGAACATATTAATATTTAGATACATAAATTGTATCTTTTAACTAATAATAATTTTTTAATAAGAATGTAGAAAACATCAATTCAGTAAATTTGCCTCAAAAACGTAAGCACGTGAAATATACTCAAGAAACATTAGAGGCAATATTTCTTGAGCAAGGCATAACTTGGAAGCCACGTGCATTTACTAATTTTTGCATTAGCAAAGATATTCATTTAGCTGATGATCCTGTAGTAAATGATAGGCTAATTTATAGTTGGATTAGTAGACATATAAAGCACGGCGAGGCAAAGAAGAATTAGATAAACAAATATAATATATTAATTATGGTTATATTATAGTTAGAATAAAGAGCTTATATAAAGTTGCACTTTACTTATTCGCACATAATTAATTAATAGTCTTTTGCTTACTCTAGTGCTATTAAATTTATTCCTATATAGCTCCAATACGATCAATTAATAAAAATTAAAAAATAATTGCACCCAATTAATGACAAAATATTGCAAAAAGATGTAAATCTGCCATGAGAAAACTAGAGATTCTTTATATAAATAATTTAGAATATCAGCGATTATAAAAATTATGATTGACAATATGTAGGTTTGGTACATTAAACTCTAATTGTAATTGAAACACTATTTTTTATTACTAAGATATATTCGATATGAAAATACGATTTTCTTTTCTAAGTATGAATTTATTCTTTCCAGGAATTGCAAAGATTAAAACTATATATTATAAAAAACAATTACACCAAAACCCGCATTAGTAAAGAAATGCAAGTCAAAATTATATTTTGAAATAAATAAAAAGTTAAAGCATATACGTACTTTATGTTTCGATATTTTCAGCTTGAAATTTCTTTATCAACGTAATTAATATTTAGTTACTTTGAATACATGTACGAGTTTTATTTATTTTTAGAAGAAATCTAATAATTTCATTAGCACTTTCTACGGGACTGGGGATGTTAATTTAAGTTCAATGTAAACGTTAATTTTTAGACTGGGGATGTTGGTGTAAGTTCGATATTACTACAGTAATTCTTTATTCTGATTGGCTAATTTATATTTTTTTTTTGGGTCAGAAAATTAAGGTCAGAAATGTGATCCAAGTGGGTCAGGAACAATGTTTTTGCATAGGGCATGCCTCTAAATCAAAAAAACCAGAGGCATACCTATGGGGCATGCCCGAAAATTTTCCTGTGCCCCCAACCCTAATTACAAGCCTCGGATCGGAACCATATCTTTTTAATAACGTGTTTCAAGCAGCTTTTGCTGCAGCACACAAAAATTTTAACGATCATTTTTTTCGCTATCCGTTTCGCCCTCTATTTGTTGCAGTACAAATTTTTGATCCTAATTTTGTTAAATTGATAATTAATAATCGTAATATTCAGAAATATTCAGCACAAATTCCCAAATTAATTAATCCTTCAGATGCTTTATTATATGAATGAAGTCATTATTGTAATATAGATTTGACATTAGTTGAATTTAGTAATTTAGACGAATTTTAGGAAAAAATGTCTTCTTCTTTTCCGATTTTAAGCAATATTGCATTGCTTTATATTTGGTTATCTATTTCTTCGTGTGCAGTTGAGAGAAGCTTTTCTGTTTACAATAATCTTTTAGAAGATGATAGACAGAATTTAAGCGAAAATTTATTAAAAATATTAAATATGTTGTATTTTAATCAACGCAAATAATAAATTTTAATAAAAAAATTTTTTTGGCTATTTTAAACATTAAAAAATTTTTATCCAAATTTTTCCAAATATTTGCTGATATTCAAATAAAGATCCGTGATTTGATACCCAAATTTTTATGGATCCCTGTACTGAGGGCCATTTCGCTAGAGTGAAGGCTGTGGCCAAATGCGCACAATGTTTTTCTTTTTACATTTGTTCCTTCTGCCATGAAAGAACTTATATTTTAAATAGAGCTGGTAAAGTGAAATATTTTTAAGTTCATTAGGTCTATCCCAATACTTTTGCAAAAGTGATTTTGCCATTTTTCCATCATCATTTGTTGAAGATTCGACCTCATTTCCAGTACCAGAAAGCAATCGAGGTGCATCTTTGTTGAGATTTAGAGAGACAAACTAACAACAAGAATGGTAGAGTGGGATGCCAAGAAGATGATAGCAAGTTTCTTGCACGGAGATATCACGTTCTGCAACAGTATAAAGAAGTAATTTTTGAAAAGAAGCAAGCAATAGATCATTAGGGTTGCTGTTGCAAAGAATTCGGTTCAATATCTCTGAAAAAGCTTCAGAACGCGATTCAGACTTGCTTGCATATTTAGCAATATACTGAAGAGCTGCATGGATGCTAAGAACTGGTTTCAAATCAACATTAGCACGCCATCTCTGAAGCTGAAGTCAATTATGCGGGTTGATGTAAAGATCATTCCTTGCTGTAATAAGCTCAGAATAACCATGATTATCGTTACTTACAAAGGTATGTTCTACAATTTCTTTTGGATAGCCAAATCGACACTGTTGTTCTTCCACGCGATTAATATGAAGACAGTATGAAGAACTACATTTTGTGTGATGCTGTAATTTATTAACTAACTCAATATAGTCCTGTAGGTCATTATGTAGTTCATCATCACGCTTCTGGCAGAGATGCCTTTCAGATACAGGTGCATCGATCCCTGGATTAATTGTTGTGACTAAAGAATTTAAATATTGGACCACTCTAACCATTGTATCATTGTCATTTTTTATTTTTTCTCACTTAATTGCTGGTGCATTTTTTTGTTTTCCAATACCATATATGTGTGCACTTCCACGGTGTTGCCACTTGAACCTATACCACCAATCTTCTAAGTTCCACTTAGGAATCAACACGTCTTCCAAAAACAATTTAAACCGATTTTAAAAAACTACGCGGCTATGTGAGAATTGTCAATAAGGTCTTGACATCGTTGTTGGGCTGATACTTCTATTTAATTTTCACCATGTGGCATAAGTTTGTGTAGCTCTGGCCAATGAAAGTCTGCCGCGCTAAATGTAAAAAATATTAGTCCTTGTGATCCCAGTTGCTTAATCATATCTGACAATTCAAGCCTTCTTTTATTCCAAAATTGTCGAGTTTCACGTAAACTCTCTCCAAACTATATGACTTGGTCAGCCAGGTGAGTATTGCCTTCAAACATTTCTTGAACTTCTTCAACAGTAAGCTGTTTTCTGTTTAAACTTTGCTTAACATATACTCTTCTCTCTTGCAATGCTCTCTATCGCATTTGCGAATTTAACGCAAAATATCACCAATGAGTATGGCGAGCAAACCTACCGTCTTTGTACTTGAGCATGTGTTGGAAATATTCAGCAGGTTTTACATCTCTCAGGCGTTCTGAACGAAGGTCAGCTTTTCCGCTTGAATACAAGGTTGAAAAGGCATGGGTAATATATCCAGAAGTGTGAAATTCATTAATGGGATTACTATCAATGTTTGGCCATGCAATTGTCGCATTTCTGGCTTGCATTCTCGCAAGAGCATTATTAATTGCATCATTTTCACGGTTGGATGGAGGTGAAACCGGAACGAAGTTTCGTATAATTATGTCTTCATTTTCACTTTCGTTTTCATTCAACATTTCATCTTCTGTGCTTTGAACCTGTTGAAGATGGTTATCAATGGTTCCATTTTCAGGCAATAATTGCAGTGCTTCATTGTCAATGTCGATGTTAGTGTAATACCGATTATTCGCTTTTAACCATAGAAGCACTCGAGCAACTTTAACATAACGAACGTTAAAATCTCTGAATGCTGGTCCACTTAAAAACTGTCGACGCACAACAAGAACATCCAATGATGATGGATGACGTGGAAGGTGTGTTACAAATTCATGCACATCTTGAGGAAAGTTAATAACATTTCTCTTATATGCATACTGGCCTTCACGAAGACAATATACTAAGATTACAAGAAATATTTGTGCAATCAACATTTTCTCAATCTCAGTAAGACCTTGAAGTTCCTCAGGCACGTCACCTGGGTCTATGTTATTCTCTGCTGAAAACTTTTTTGGAATATTCTTATCACTATAGCAGCGACCGCATTCACCTTGGACCAGCTTGATTGAAGGAAAATGCTCATTGTATATGAGACAAAGTTTATGCATAAATTTATTTATTTTATTTCAGAATTTTTGAAGAAGTTTATGATCAGATTCTTCAATTGATACTGCAGACGTCCTATAGTACAGTTATATATTTTAACTCTATTTTATTTTTTGTTTAATAGGGCTATACAAGTGTTAACATATGCCCTATTAAAACATAGTGTTAGGCATACGAATGGACACTATGTTTTAATAGTATGCGTGCCAACACTCACAGAGCACTATTATTTAATTTGTATTTAACTTTTTTATTAATCAGCAAATACAAACGTTTGTTCATTTTCTTGATCGTTTAAGCGCCCACCAGTTACATCTAAATTATTCAAAGCTCTATGTTGTTGCTTTTGTTTTTTTTCTTTATCTAAATGCTCTTTACGTTCTTCTGCACTTTCTTCGTTCTTTCTCTTTGCTTTATTTTCGCGATCACGAGCAAGGCGTTTCTGGCGTTGATCAAGGGTTTCATTTTCTCTGCTTTTGCGTTTTCTAAGTGCATCCTCTTTTAGGTTGCCTGACATTGTATTTGCTAATTATTACAGTTAATATTTTTTGTAGTCTTTTTTTTGTACGAAACAAATATTTTCAACTGACATGAAAGCTTATCATGATAATAATTCATTTTATTAGTCGCTCATTCACATGATGCATTATATTAACGCATCGTTACTATTTTTTAAAACGCATATTGTATGAAATCTTACGAACATTACTAAAGATTTGGTGTGAATTATAATAAAATTTATTAATGCAGGATTAGCCAACTAGGATTCTAAAATCTCAATTTGGATTATCTTGTATGAGTTATCTTTACTGTACAATTCTAATTTTCCTGCTCAGTAATTAGGATTGTTTGCACAAGCAAAATTTTGGTAACATGTTAGCAGCATATCAGACTTTATATAATAATTTAATTGTATGCCAGTGGCAGGCAACTAAAATTTTGCTTGTGCTAACAACCCTATTAGTAATCTATCAACAACACTTTTACTTAAAGGTGGGTTATGACTTTATTAGTAAAATTCTATGAACACTCTTTACGCAAATTTATTAATACTGATCTGGTTAATCACGACTCTAATTGATATTAGGTTTCTGTATAGTTATTACACAAGAATAAAGAGAGACATTATTTATAGAAATTGTGAATAAGTATATTTTATATTCTTACATTACTTAGATTTAAATTTATTACAGTAACTTTGCTTTTTTAATCGTAACCGGAGGTATTCTCTTTAACCATTTTTTATAATTAGAAAAAGTATATTAGTAATTTTCTAAGCATAGCCGGAGTTTTATTGGTTGGAGTGAAGATATTTCTGGTTAAAACTAAATGTTACTACATATTTTAAATTATACAGTGCTGCCGTGGTCGCAAAAAAGATCCGGAAAAATAATAGACAATTAATTTTTTTTCCTTATTTAAGAATGACTAAATGAATGCTATAAATAGTAATATTCATTTTAAGTTCAAAGTTATCAAAAATGGATCAGTTATATACGAAATATTATTAGACGCTTGACGATTATTCGCAATGATTCACCGATTCAAGAATGAATGATTTGTTTTTGTGCGATATGCTTATAGCATTTATTTAAAATAATCGAAAACAGATCAGCTGTTCATGAAATATTAGTTTTATTTTGACAATGCAATTGCTTATTTCTATTAACTGCCAACTTTAATTTTAATGCTAGCATTCTTTAATGGTATATTTCAGGAATGACTAATAAGTTTTTAACCAGCATAATGGAAGTTTGTTTTTATTGGATGATCTACACAAATTCTGATTGACCAAAAATTAAAGATTAACACACGTTTTATAATACTCATAAATCTAATACTTTTATAGTGTTTCGTAAAATTCGTAAGACAATTAATTTTTTTAATCATACTAGCTTGCTTATGTAAAATTTGAAATTTTATTCAAAAAAAATTTTGGTTACTTCGCTTTAAAAATTAAAAAAAACACATATTTATAATACTATACTATGTATATTGTCAAAATGGCTTCAAATAAAAGTTGGTGAAATGCTTGATCTCACTTGATCTCTAACGTTTATATGAAAGTTAAGCATCCAAAAAATAATCTGACAAAATTTTAGGCAGCTTTGCTTATAAAAATTTAACTACGTCTTATTTAAATAAAAATTTCTATTTAAACTAATATAAAAACTTGTGTAACAATACTTTTATAAAATAAATAGCCAATCAAAAAGAACTTCCATTATGTTTTTTTTAATCACATTCGTTTTTAAGCAGAGTCATCGAAATCGGATCAGCCATTTTCAATTTATAGAATGTATTATGTGAACTATTATTTTTAGATCTTGTTTACTGTCATAGACAGACATTCATCTGATTGATGATATAAATACATTGTCTGTGTAATTTATTTATATGCTTTAGAGTACATTTTAGTGCTATATACTAAAAGAACACTTTTTATATAGGTTTCTTCCTTAAAGTATCAGAATAATTTTTATAAAATATTTATAGTTACTATTTTATATATATATATATATATTTAATAAAAAATTTTAATTTTTTAAATCTGTATAAAAATTATTAATATTATAAAATATCTACATATATATTATATATATTTTATACAGTATAATAATATAAATTGTTTGCTCCGGACTTACAACAGTTCCTGTTAACCTAGTATAGCTGCTTTAATGATCTATTTTGTTAAAGACTAGCTTAATACTAAAGAATTCCTTAAATAGCAAGCAGTTCTATTTTCAGCTATAGGCCTTGCATCATGTTACTAGAATGCATACCCCAATTTACCTTAACTTTTAACTTGATTCTTTATCATTAGTTGGTGTTATATTGTTGTTAGTATATTCTGGCTTTTTTTATTAAGACTTTCATATAGATATGATCAGAGCTCTGACTTGATATCTTTAAATGTACTAGATTAGCTAACTTATTTTTATGAAATTACCTTCTTTAGCTAGTTGTTCCTTACTATCAGAAATACTTCTTGTTCAGATAAGGCCAATTTTTTATCACAGCTCTTTCACATGTTTACTGCTTCTCTTACTATTTCAGTTTTGATAGTATTATATTACTCTTTCAAGCAAGTACCCAATATTATTTTTAAATTAGAACTAATGCATACAATTCATTAACCATCTTTCTAAACAAATACCTCACAAGTTGATGTGAAGATATTGGTATTGCCAAATATGAGAATAAAAACATGTTGATATTGCCTCTAAGTTACTCCAACCAAAGGCCTAACTTGTGCAATCTTTTACAATCTAGATCTTCTGTGATACTACTATTATATATAATGACTACATTTTATAATTAGAGCTCTTTCTGAAAATTCCTATTCCAGAACTGTACTTGTACTTGGACTTTCCACAGAGTTTTGCATCTGATTACTGTATGTTTCTGAAAATAAGCTATATCCAATAATAAGCTACTTTCCTTTTTTAGAAAAAAAATATAAAAATATACCTGAAAATAAGCTATTTAATGATCATCAGTAGTTACTCTATAGTAAAGTCAAAATTTTACTAAGTAAATTGATATAGCTTATTAAGCGAAAGTTGTTCAAGAGATCAAATTACATATATTTTGAAAGTTTTATCCAAATTAGATAACTTTTTATTAATTCATTTTTGCATGTTATGTTCAGCAAATTTTTTAAGATTTCGATTAAAATTTCTTTAAAATTTATATTAATTAAATGTAAAAAGGGAATTGCTATTCGCAGCATGGATTTTTGCTATTCGTACCATGGTTATATGAAGATCCCTTCGATTTTATCATTTTATTGTTTGCAAGCTTTTAAAACTTTAATCAATGATATCTCGGCAACCACTTGACCAAAATTAATAAACTTTTTTTTATTCGACTTCTACAGATATGTAGAATTTGAATAAAAAAAAGTTCATCAATTTTGGTTAAGTGGTTGCCAAGATATCATCGATCAAAGTTTTTAAAAATTTTAAAACGATT